ACATTTGTGAAGTAATCTATGTGTGACCTGTGAGTTTCTATGCACTTTCATCATATGAAATCATTTTTTAGTCATTTACAATTTTTTTAAGTTTTATGTTCTTTTATAAGATATCTTCATTTTTCTACACATAAGTGATCTAAAAAGAATATTTTCTTTTATTCAAATCGTAAGGAGACAAGAAGTCTCATTTTGTTGTTTTCTTGTATGCTTCTACAAACACATTTTAAAACTTAAATCTGTGCAATTTCTACTACTTCTCTGTATGAATTTCATATAGTTAAAAAAAATAAAATGCTCAAACAAAAACAGACTTAAAGAAATAGAATCTGCCCATATATAAGTCTTAAAATGTGTTTGTAGAAGCATACAAGGAAACAACAAAATGAGATCTCTTGTCTTCTTAGGATTTGAATAAAAGAAAATATTCTTTTCAGATCACTTATGTATAGAAAAATGAAGATATTTTTATAAAAGGACATAAAATTAATTTTTTTTTTGTAAAGGACTAAAAAATGATTTCATATGAAAGCGCATAGAAACTCACATGTCGCACATAGATTACTTCACAAGTGTAACTGGTGGCCCAAAAAGATAAAGAAACTGAAAATTAAACATACTTGAAAGAACTCAAGAACTCTCACACAAATAAGTAATTTTAATTTTTCGTTTTGTAGTTAAATAGTTTGCCTTTTGATGGTCATTTATATAATTCAAACTAAGTGTGTCAATCGGATCAGATCGGATCGATCCAAAATTGGCCCAAATCAGTAGAAGCCCAGATCGAACTGGTCCAAGACTAACGGAATATCCATTGGAGGCACGAACTTTTCGAGAATTTGTTTGTCAATTTTTTGACCGTTGTGGGCCCACTAACAACAAAAAATAATAATCTAAAATCTAATCTCATATTTTTAATTTTTAAGTATTTTTTACTCCCCATTAATCTATAAATATTTTTCGTCTCAATTTCTTTACTCTTTTAACTTTCAAGAATTTAATATTTAATTTCAATTACAAAATTCTTATTTTACTATATTTTTTTAAATTTCCTATCATATTCTTTAAAATTTCCTACCATTTGAAAGAATTACAAAAAATCATATTTTCCTCACTCTCTCTTAGATTCTTGGATACATCACTTTTACGCGATGTACCGGAACACGATGTATCGAGACGTTGAGTGATATATTCGAAATTCTTATATTTTTGGGGATTTTTTTAATTTGAAAACGAATAGAAATAAGATGTAATTAACTCTTAACACTACAAAATTCAAGTAGTTTTTACTATTTTTAGCGATGTGGCATAGGGAGTATAGCTCACTCTCTTAAGGAGAATAAGAGAGATGACCAAACAAATCAAATAATAATCAGACAGTTAAAAAAACTTTAAATTTTTGGATAGAACATTCTGAATTTTAAAATATAGTTGCCCAATTAGACCGTTGATTTTGAAGGGCATCCTTTTTAAATTTTCAAGCACAAGGTGAACAAGATAAAAGTTGCATTGAATCAGTGGAGTAGAAACACTTTTGGGGATATTTTCAAGCAACTAATAATCAGAGAAGAAGTAGTCAGAATTAAAGAACAAAACTTTGAGGAAGAGCCTACAACAGCTAATAGAATGATTCTACAACATGCTCATGCGGAAATGAAAAAGTATGTTCACTATGAAGAGGAGTTTTGGAGACAGAAAGCTGAAATTACATGATTTGCGTATTTTTTCATAGTCTAGTAAATGGGAGAAGAAAAAGACTTCAAATCAAGAGAATTTAAAATGCAGAAGGAGTATGGCTTGAAAGAGAGGATCAAATGGTTGAAGAGGCAATAAGTTGTTATAAAAATCAATTTACACTAGGTGAAGAAGAATCTGATTTTTCTTTATTAGAATGTATACCAAATTTGGTAAATCAGGGGATAATGAGAAGTTTCTAATGATACCACTAATGGAGGTGGTGAAAAATAATCTATTTTCCAATTGGAGGGATCAAGTGCAAGTGGACCTGATGGCTTGAACGTCAATTTCTTTCAATCATGTTGGGACATTGTTGGTTATGATGTTTATAGGATAGTAAAGGCCTTTTTAATAGTGATACCTTGCCCAAGTCGATCACACATACAAATCTGGTACTGCTACGTAAAAGGGAGTTGGTCAATTCATTTTCAGATTAAGGCCTATAAGCCTAAAAAATTTGATTAATAAGACCATCTCTAGAGTGGTACATGGAAGAATAAAAGACATTCTAACCAAGTTCATATCTCCTACTCAAGATGAATTTTCAAAAAGGAAGATGCATAATTCAGAATGTGTTGCTAACTCAAGGGATTTTGACTGATATAAGAAAAAGAGGTAAGCTTCTAATGTTGTTATCAAACTAGATATGACCATGATTTATGATAGGGTATCCTGACTATATTTATCTAATGTGCTAAGAAAGATGGGTTTCAGTGAGATTTTTACTGTCATGGTATGAAGATTAATAGCAAAGACCTGGTACTCTATTATTTTTAATGGGCAAAGTCATGGATTTTTTTTACTCTACTAGGGGAGTGAAGCAAGGAGATCCCTTATCCCCAACTCTGTCTTTACTAACCGCAAAAGTGTTGTCCAGATCACATCACTGAATGCCTTGTTTGACAATAGTTTGTATAAGGGATATGGCTTACCAAGATGGAGTGAGAAGCTAAATCATTTGACTTATGCAGATGACACTATAATATTCACCTTAACAGATAAAGTATCTCTTGATCTTGTTATGGAAGTGCCGAGGAAATATGAGGAGATCTCAGGTCAGTTGATCAACAAAGATTAAAGTGCTTACTTTTTATTTCACAAGACTTCTTTTATTAATATTTTTTATTTATCACTCATACATAAAAATTAGAGCTAAGAAGCATGTCTCACTATTACATGAAGTTCTACATATGCATAATTTGTCTTAATGAACATAATTTTTTTAGCATGATATAAATGTGTTTTTGGTTCTCTTTTTTCATGCACAATAACTTATAGGAACAAGTATTTTTGTTATTTTTATCAGTTTAGTGAAAAAATTTAAACAATCTCAAAACATAAATGTATTTTCTCTGTTTTAAAAAAATCTATTTAGAATTAAATGCTAAATTAACATGATATTTTTTTTATGACAAGGAAAACCCACAGCCGCTACCCTTTGGGTGCGCACATGATAAAACCCCCGCTCCTATGCAATAGCTCGCAAACCACATAGGAGAGGTAACCCGCACTAGGCAAGCCCAGTGCGACGAGCTCGACCCAGAAGGCAAACCCCTTGCTTTCGCTGGCAAGGGGTTTCGAACTTGAGACCTCCAACATGGAAGTCCCAAGCCCAAACCACTGGGCCACCCCGAAAAAGGTGCAGCAGGTGGGATTAGTCATAGGAATGGAAAAAGGTGTGTTCCCATTCATATATTTAGGCTGCCCAATATTTTATTGAAGAAAGAGAAGATATTCTATAATGAAATCATCAAAAAGGTAAAAGGAAAGTTGCAGAACTGAAAGAGTAAGTTATTATCCTTTGGTGGCAAAGTTGTTTTGATTAGAAATGTGTTGCAAAACATGCCTATATATCTTTTATCAACTTTAGCTCTTACTAAATGCGCTTTGAATGAGTTGCACAAGATTTTTCAAAATTCTTTTGAAGCAACTTGGAAGAGGGCAGATCTAATCTGGGCTTCTTGGTTGAAATTATGTTTTTCTAAACAAGGAGGTAAATTTTTTTATGGATAATGAAAAATAAAATTAGGAAAGTCTACATCAACATTTGCCTAATCAAATTGCTGAACATGTGACAAAGAATCTCATGATATGAGAGAGCTTGGAAGACAAAGATAGAGCATGGTGGATGCCATCTACTAAAGGAAATTTTAGGGAAATTCAGAGACCAAAAAAGCAGAAAAGATGGTTTTGGAAGAAATTTTGGGTAAAAGGTCTTCCTATGAAAATTTTCTTTTTTATTTGGAGGTTGTGGAATCTAAAGCTACCAATAGATGACATTGTGGCATCATGGGGAGTCTAGGTGTAGATGTTGTCGACAATTTCAAGAAGAGACTGTCACACATTTTTTTAACTGGTGAAGTTGCACAAAGTATTTGGAGAAACTTTACTATGGCTGTAGGGTTGTTAGGCCCTTTTATACAGGTCAATCAGGCTATTACAGAATGGTGGAAGGCTGAATGTGGGGAAAAACTTATGTCATTGTATCAATCTGCTCCTTAAATCATTTTGTGGCATTTAATGAGAAGAAGAAATGTGGTTACTAATGGAGGATTTATGACAAATAATTGAGTTGTAAGTGATATTAGCCACATTCTTCATATGCTTGCAAATGTGACATATCCTCGGCTGAAGGATATACCAATTAACTGGCCACAAATGGTGCAGTACTTCGAAGAATATATGCGAGTTCTTCATTTTAGATTGGTTAAGTAGGAGTTTCCTCTACAGGGATGGTTTAAATGCAATTCGGATGGGGCCTCTAAAGGTAACCCAGACCCAAGTTCATTAGGTTTTTGCATGAGAAGTGATGAAGGGGAGTTTATTTATGCTATGTTATAAGAATTGAAGTTAACACTAATTTATACGTAGAAGAGTGGATTTGGGGAATGTGATTGACTATTGCACGAGGAACAATTTTGTTCCTGTACGATTGGAGACAGATTCATTAGTTTTGTTGAATATGGTGGAGGGTACATGGAATACTCCTTCGAAGTTAAGGATGAAGATTGACAGGATAAGGTTTTGGAGGGCAAAAGGCGTTAGTACAGTGCATCATGTACTACGAGAAGGCAATAAAATTGCCGATTTTATTACTTGTTGTGTGGGTGCTATAAGCTATAATTCATTGCAACAACTACCACAAGAAGTTCAAAATTGATTCTCTTATATAAACAACAAACCCCTAGTTTTAGATACAACTACTTGAAGGCTTGAGAACCGGACTAATTCAATGGTCTTGAGAAGGTATATAGTATGTTTACCTGAAAAATTGCAGAACTTTTAGATCTGGTTGTTCACTGTGCAACTTTTGATGTGTGGTATCAGCATCTTCAGAATCTCATTCTATCAAAAGTGATATAGTAAATAGCTTGGTTAAAAAAGTTTTGCGTCAATGTTCTAAGAATTTCCGATTTGATTATCTACACAAAAAGGATGGAAGTTACCTCCTACATAGTATTCGGTTGGCAATGAGATTGACAAGGAATGTTCCCGTTGGGTCATATGTCACAACACATGTGTAAGAGATTTGAGGTCGCCTATGATGAAATTAGCCCAGCGTCTTTTCTGATACCGATAGTTGAGCTACGTAACTGATGTTTTCTATGCTTCGTCGGTGTGGAGAATGAAGATCAGTAGCTGGAATTCGTCAAAGGAGGCGTTCAGTTTCCCAGATGAAAAGGGGAAGAACGCGTTTGTAGCTTCTATATTTATTTTGCCCTAATTTGTTTCCTTTTTTGGTTGTTTGATTTTCTTTCCTTTTACTTTTCTTGTTTTGCTAGTGGATGCCCATTTTGGGCTGGACCTTTTGGATTTATTTTGTTGATTAATAATATGTGTAACATCTCGCAAATTGAAAGAACTAGAAAGAGCTGGAATTAGAAAGAGTGATTTTTGGAAATAATAAAATATCAGGAGAATTGGTTAAGTTAGGTCTGAGTTTTTTGGTCAACTTCAAATGACCATAACTCCTACCTCAGGATGAGTTAGGTGTCTTTCCAGATATCTTTGGAAAGATTTTGGAATAATCTTTCCAACGCCGTTGAGTTTACGCGATTTCGAGTTCATATGAGTGAGATATGCCCATTTGAAGTTGGGTTGTTCAAAGAAGAAAAGATCAATCCGGATTTTAGAAGGGCATTATGGTCTTTTCACCACTCAATTAATTAATTTCATTTTTGGTAATTAAGTTGGGGTCTAAACTGATTGGATTCAGTTTACGCTTTTGAGAAACAAGTTAGGGTTTTGCGAGAAGAGAAAAGAATAGGAGAAGGAGCAAGGAATCGTCAAGTTCTTGAAGCTAGGCTCGTGGATTTCGTCAAGGTGTGATCCCTACGAGGTATGTGAGTCTTTCATAGCATTAAGTTCGTTGACCCACGCGCCAATCATGTTATTTCAGCGAAGTTTGTTCTAGAAAGTTGAAAGTTGATGAATCTTGAATGGTGTTCTTGAAATTGGCCTTCGTTCTTGAGTTAGGTTGAGATTGAGGAGTTCCTTGAGGTTAAAATGTTGTTTCCTTGAGTTGTTTCAGTTAGAATCTTGTGTATACATATTGGGTATCTGAAACTAAAGGGAATTTGAGAAAAAGAATCGAGTTTAGGCAAATTAGAGTTAGAAAATGAAGAAGGAACAAGTCGGGCAGAAACTGGGTACCAGGTTCGCGTCGCGGACCTGTTCCTCAGAAGTATAATTTTCCCTTCGCATCGCGGCGAGGTCACGAACCTCTCTGCCTCAAAAGTTATTTTCGCGACCAAAATTTAAATACACCTCCGCATCGCGGACTAGTTTCCAAGCAGTGATTTCTTGATCATTTCTCATGTTTAGCTCTGTCAAATCATTCCTAAACATCATGAGATCTTTCCTATCACAAATCACAATCCTTGAATCCATAATTCAATTCAAGGAAAGTTAAGAGTCAAGTCAAGAGAAGTTAAGAGTCAAGTCAAGAGAAGTCAAGAGTCAAGTTAAGAGAAGTTCAAAAAATTTTCCAAAAGTCTTTTACAACTGTTTTAACTTTGTTTTAAGACTTGAGTTTTGAGTTGAGTAAAGAGTAAAGTTTGAAGTGCATTTCTTCAAAAGAGTATATCGGGACTATGTATTCCCAAAGAGTAATATTTTCACATTTAAACAAGAAAGTAAACTAAGATTTCCAAAAGAGCCTTTGAACTAGTTTTCAGTAAAGAGTAAGAGTAAAGTTCATTCTTCAAAGATTATTCGGGAACTAAGTATTTCCAAGAGTTAAAAATGTTTTCACATTTGAGCAAGAAAGGAAACTGAGATTTCCAAGAGAGCTTTTAAGCTAAGTTTTTGAGTAATTATCTCAAAACCAAAGAAAGAGTTTTGTTTTTACAAACATATGAGCTAAGTATATTTTGGGAGTAGTATTGAGCACCGATATTGGGACGAGCTTGAGTTAAGATAACTCACGTCTCCATATATCATGTAGCCATCATGGGTAGTAAAGGATCATACTTTTTAGATGACTCCTTAAGAAGCTTTTAGCATAGATTAGTGGATCCACTTAGTTAAGTGTTCTATATGACGGCAAAGTATAGGACAGATTTTGCAGCGTGGGCAAGACGATGTATCACGACTTAGGCTCATAGTAGTGGTTGTCGATTAGAGAAACTCCCACAGAAACGATATTACTTTATTATATGAGTAAAGTTGATTTTGTTATTGCATTTCCTTTAACGAACTAAGTTGTTTTCTACTGTTTTACAAGCTTTATATATATTGCATATGTTTACTGCTTTATATTGAGTTAAATTATTCATGAGTTGAGTAAAGCCAAGGTAAGTATTTCTTTCAGATTCTTTTCAATCCTATGTTATGTTTAGCATTCAACTCGCATATTCGTACATTCAATGTACTGATTCCAGTTGTCCTATATCTTATTATAATGCAGACGCAGGTAATCAGGATCAGTATCCAGCGCCTCGTTGATCCAGTTGAGCACTCAGAGTCAGTTGGTGAGCCTCCTACCTTTTCAGAGAATCCTTTTTATTGCTTTCAGTATTTTAGTTTATTAGGATGTCGTGGGTCTTGTCCCGACGTCCAAATCAGTTATTTAGAGGCTTCATAGACAGAGTCAGTGATGTTAGTTCGTGAGTTTTTTCTTTTCCTTTTTAGTTAAGTTGAGACTTGAGTTGCCACTTTGGTAGTGAATGTTATTATAATACATTCTAAGTTATTTTTGAGCAGTTCAGTTTACTTGTTTTAAAAGTATTTATCTTGAGTAAAGTCTTCCGTTGAGTAAGTAAGTCAGACCAAGGGTTCATTTGGGGCCAGTAATGGTTCTCGAGTGCCGCCACGTCCAGGGTGTAGGCTAGGGGGTGACAAACTTAGTATCAGAGCACAGAGTTCAAGAGTCCTAGGAAATCTAGGAAGCCGTGTCTGTAGAGTCCTAGTTATTGGTGTGAAGTGAGCCACATATATAATTAGGAGGCTGCAATATTTAGGAAATTCCTTCACTTTTTTCATACTCATTTCGTGCGTTAGAGTTTTATCTCTAAAAAGTTTCTTTCTAACTCATGTTTACGCGTAACCGATTGTGAGTTGGACTGTTTTGAGAGTGCTTTCATGGGGCGTTTCTTTCCCCGTGAACTAAGAGAAGCAAATAGATAGTTGCCGACATGAGGAGTAGGATGAGTTTATTCGTTGTTGGGTTGTCTCGTCTCTCAGATAAGGAAAGTAAGGCAGCCATGCTAATAGGTGACATGGGAATAGCAAGGCTGATGATCCATGTGCAACAAGTTGAGAAGGACCAGCTAAAGGATAAAGAAGAGTTTGAGAATAAGAAGGCTAAGACACCAGGGAATGAATCTGGGCAGCAAAAGGGTAGTGCGAACCAGTCTTCTTTCCAACATAAGCAGAAAGGACCTGCTCCATCATTTGCTAGTGCACCTGCACCAAGGAACAAATGTGAGTACAATAGTCAGAATTCTCAGAACTTCAGAGCTAGACTTGCACACTCGCAAGGTAGTAAGGCACAAGGGGGTACTAAGACTTTTGCATGTGCTAAGTGTGGTAGGATCCACTCAGGGATGTGTCGTGATGACTCCACTAGTTGCTTCAAGTGTGGCCAGAATGGTCATTTTATGAGAGAGTGTCCTAGGACCAGACAGAGTAATGGTAATGGGGGTAATAAAGCCCAGTCTTCTTCATTTGCTCCACCAGATAGAGCTGCATCTAGATGAGCTACTTCAAAGGCAGACGGAGAAGGAAACTGTCTTTATGCTATTGCTAGTCGCCGAGAGCAAGAGGATTCGCCAAATGTTGTCACTGGTATGATCCAAGTCTTCAACTTTGATGTTTTTCCTAAGCAACTTCTTGAGCCCTTCAGTGTTTCTACACCCGTTGGTGAGTTTATTATAGCAGAAAGAGTCTATGGATTCGCCAAATGTTGTCACTGGTATGATCCAAGTCTTCAACTTTGATGTTTTTCCTAAGCAACTTCTTGAGCCCTTCAGTGTTTCTACACCCGTTGGTGAGTTTATTATAGCAGAAAGAGTCTATGGTGATTGTCCCGTTTCTATCAATCACAAGAGTACCATGGCTGATTAGTTGAGTTAGACATGGTAGAGTTTGATGTCATTCTAGGTATGGACTAGCTTCATGCCTGTTATGCATCAATAGATTGTAGAACTCGAGTAGTCAAGTTCCAGTGAACCAATTATAGAGTTGAAGAGCAATTCAGCAGTGCCTAAGGGTCATTTTATTTCGTACCTTAAGGCGAGAAAGTTAGTTTCCAAGGGGTGTGTCTATCACTTAGTCCGAGTTAATGACTCTAGTGTTGAGATACCTCTTATTTAGTCAGTTTCAGTAGTAAGAGAGTTTCCAGAAGTCTTTCCTGATGATCTTCCCGGAGTCCCTCCTGAGAGAGAAATAGACTTCGGTATAGACATTCTTCCAGATACTCGTCCCATATCTATTCTGCCATATAGAATGGCCCTAGTAGAGTTGAAAGAGCTTAAAGAGCAATTGAAAGATCTTTTAGAGAAAGGTTTCATTCGACCAAGTATTTCACCTTGGGACGCTCCGGTCCTATTTGTGAGAAAGAAAGATGGTTCCTTAGGATGTGTATAGATTACCATCAGTTAAACAAGGTTACCATCATGAATAAGTATCCTCTTCCGAGAATTGAATATTTTTTCGATCAGCTTCAGGGTGCTACATGTTTCTCTAAGATAGACCTCAGGTCTGGCTACCATCAGTTATGAGTAAGGGAATGTCATATTCAAAAGACAACATTCAAGACCAGTTATGGTCATTATGAGTTTCTAGTCATGTCGTTTAGTTTGACCAATGCACCTGCAGCGTTCATAGATGTCACGCCCCGAGCTACCCCCGAGACGCGAACACGGGACCTAGGACCACAAGTGATCCCAAGCTAATCCTGCTGGCCTGATCATGAGCATACTAAATATAATCTGAATAATAGAAACTGTGCGAAAGCTAAATCATAAATAAAATGAAAAGATGGATAATACCCATATACTATAACTGAGATAAATGATAACTCATGTGTTTAATACAAAGAAGATATTAACTCAATACTAAGCTAAATCTAACTATGTCTGAAATAAGCCTCTAAATTGACTAGAAATGTTGGGATATGCCCCAACTAGGTCTAGCAAAACTGAAACTAAAGACTAAAAGCGATAAAGATAAACATGTCACTAGTCCTCGAAGAATGAGGACTCACCACTGATGCTGCTG